GTATGGAATAGGAATAATATTATCACTATTGGCCCGCCCTGTATGAATATCCCTAGTAATGGAAAAAAAACTTTAAATATGCAGGTATTGAATGTTGCGAACAATAATTAAAAAAGTAAATAGTTTTTAATATTTTATTTAAAAGAAAAAATTCAATATTCTTATTTAACTAACTAGGAAATATTAACATATTATTAATAAAATAATATATTTTAAAATATCAAATGCAACTGTTATCGGATTAATTATTATTCACCCTATTGAATACTACAGTTTTTGGTGCCACGGTGTATATTTGCAAACAACACTCCCAGTCCGAAACATACCTAACTATTTGTGGTGGGGCGCGAGAGAATGAGAGCGAGCCAACTAGTGGGGACTTTAAGTTGCCCTTCATTGTACGAGGGTAATTCCAAAAATAAGACCTCCTAGTGTTTTAGAAAGGTTTGTTAGAGCTGGGGTAGTTTTTATATACCCATAGCTCTCCGATATGTCATTGAGGAAGAGTTGGATCGATTCCTTCACTCACCATTGTCGCTGAAGTATCTTCCGGCCAAATGTTCTTTCAAAATAGGAAACTGCCACGCGGAAAGTTTCTCTATGGCATCACCGCTCTAGAGACCTTTTTTTTGGGATTACCCTCGCGTAATTAAAGAAACTGAAAATTCCGATTTATTAATTGCTGCAGGTGGTTTTCACTCCCACATGGATCTCGAAAAATGGCCATTTTAATACCAAAGGCTTTTTTCGCGTCCTTTGTGTCGTATGGGTATTTCGGTGGAGGCTTCTCTGCGTTTCCCTAGGTAAATTTTCGTTTTCCCGGGACTCCTCGACGAAAACGGCAAATTTTCGCTGTGGGAGAGAGACAAAATCCGACAGGAACGCCTACCGACGGACGTTTTGAGTGTCGATTTAAAATACTAAAGGCTTTTTCTCTCGTGAAACCCCAATATTTTCGTTAAGCCGCGATTATTTCGCCCAAAACGCTATTTTCGCGGCGCGGCGTCATATTTTCCTTTATGGATACGACCGGCATCCGCGCTATGTTCCGAGACGAAGCCGGAACTTTTCTCTTCACGTACGGGCAGCTCCCGCGACCCGGCGACGTCCCCTTTCCGCTATCGGTACGCTTTTCCGATGACGCGTCGCAACGTTCTCTCTCTTCTATATCGCCCTAAACTTTTATTAGGTCAAATATTAAGACGAAATTAAGAATATTTTGACACAAACTGTCACCGCGGTAGAAACGTCAGAATTGTCAAAACTGCCGAACTTTCTAGTTGTCTCTTTAAAATGGATCAGTTAGAGGAGGAAGAGGAAAGTTAGTTAGTTAGTTACAATGTTTGCAGTTGACAAAAAATCCAGAGAGTACTTGGTTCATCCGATAAATCTGTAACTGATCCCATTGCATTCCATCTGAAGGGAACTAAACCCCGAACAGAATTGCACTTTTAAATATGTAAAAAGAAAATTGCATGTAATAAATATGTCGGCAGTGGTGAGATAGCAATTAAATCTGATACCAAGAAATTTTGAGAACTGATAAATGTTAACTACGAAACAACGTAAATGAAACATATCTATAAATTATTATCAGCTATTTTTCTCATTTATAATTTAAAGACGTTTATAATTTATGTTGTACTTATATTAAAAAACCTATTAGGGCTTTGGTTCGATGGGTAGGTATTTTATTTAATAAGTAAACCATCGCCAATACTCTGACTGCTCTGGATATTAAAAACACGTGTTATGTCGTCATTATTTAAGCATATTATCGACTTCTGATAGCACATAATGAGAATAGAGGTTTGCAAAAATTCGATCCTGGTAATTTTTGTAGTTTTAGACATAAGACGATACGAGATCAGCACTACTTAGTAAACTTTTATAAACACATGTTAAAAATGTAAAGATTTATTCTTTCATTAATAAATTTAAGTTAAATGTAAGACTTTTTTAGGCATAGAGAACCACTGAACTGATTTGAAAACAAAAATCATTTTAGGCTAACTCAAAAACACTAAAATTGTTCAAACTGTAGTAGAATGTGTGCTTCCTATAATTTCGTATTTAATATCATTTCTTTGAAATAAATGTCATAATGATTATTACTGTTGCTAACCGGACAGTAATTCTTTCATTTCATACAGGATTTTCCTAGATCCTTTGTTGAGTGTTGTTGCTAAAACTGCATTCATCTGCTCTGCATATATTTGTGGTTTTTCACTGCAATACAGTAGTATGTGGTGAGCTGTGTTCGTCAAAATTCCACATACTTACAACTTCCAACAACATTATGTGTAATCAGAAAATCGATTTAGAAATAAGTTTCTTTAAAGAAGATACATCAGATGATGTATATTCTTCCAATCTGCATTTCCCTGACGTTTCCTTGGAGGATACATAATTTCATTTAAATCAATTCCAGTTTTAAAAGAGAAACCAGTTTGCTTCTTCGCATCACTGAATATTTATGAGCATTCAAAACTGACTTGATAATTTTCTTTCAGGAAACAGTAAACCGGCTCATCCGCATAGTCATGGCCACTCAACCATCAAGGATTTAGCTGGGAGCATACTAGGAGACGACAAGAGTAAAGATGATGGAGAACTGTGGAATACAGTTGAGGCACAAACAGCTTTCCTCGGACCAAACCTTTGGGACAAGACTTACGAAACTGACCTTAAGGTGATTTATTTATGACTAGAAATCAAGTATTTTTTATTGCTTGCTTCTTATCTAAAAGTAACAGAAAACAGACCCATTTTATTCCAACGTTACCCAAAAGGGTGAAAGAGAAAATTAAGATTTTGCTCAAGGCATTAAACAAAGGAACAAAGCTAATAAAGTAAAATTAACTAAATATTTTGTGGGTAACTAGTTTATAAATATACAGGGTGACTCACAACTTATTCAAAAAAATTTGGGAATAGATACGGAATGAGTAATGGGGTGAACAACGTAAAAAAATTTTTTGTAAAATCCTTTCCGAGAAAAAAATTGTTGAAGTTATAGCACTTTCAACCATTACATAGCAGGACAACTGTTGTCTCTAGCGTCATTCGCATTACGCGTGGATTGCAACGTGGTCCCAGCGACTCCGAATACTGAAATCCGATTTTACAATTGTCGTTGCGATGGTGTTTACAACAGTGTTTTTGTAGTTAGTGTCAAAAACGGCTTACGTGTATAGCAACTCTGAGTTGGTGGATATCGTTTTAATTTATGGTGAAGCAAGACAACATTATTTGTATTATGGTGAAGCATTTGTGTTATGGTGAGGCAAGACAACATTTGTGTTAGTTCGTAGAAACTGAATAAGACGGACCCAAATGTGTTTACACGTCGATGGACAAAATTTTGAACAGTTGTTGTAATATGAGGTACCTATGTCAAATTATTTTATTAATTAAAATCACAAAATAATTTTATTAAATCATAATAATAGCGGCAAAAGCAGCTTGTTCGTTTTTATCACACTTTGCCGCCATGCTGGTCGTATTGTGCGAGGTCAGGTTTTACAGTGGACCAGTTTCCACTACCGTGCAGAAGTGTATTTTTAAATCATTTTCGAACAGCCTTTTTTGATTTTTTTCTTAACAAACTTGTATTTATTTTGTAAGAGTCCTCTGTACATCCACAGTTTTTTTAGATAAGTTCGGAATCACCCTGTATAAAATAATTATGCTCACCGATTCAAAACTAAGTTAGGTATGTCAAAGTAACCGTAAGTGCTGTTCCTGAAAAACCGTTCATACATAAATTAATTAACTTTTACTCGTGCGCCATCTGTTTCAAATCAACTGAAGTAAATCTCAGACATATGACGATATCCATCAACTCCGCGTTGCTATACACGCAAGCCATTTTTGACTCTAACTACTAAAAAAACTATTGTAAACACTGGCAACGACGACTGTAAAATCTGATTCCAGTATTCGGAGTCGTTGAGGCCACGTGGCTCTCCACGCGTATTACGAATGAGACTACAGTTGTCCAGCTATGTAATGGTTGAGTACTACAACTTCAATAATTATTTTCTGGGAAATTACTTATAATTTTACAAAATTTTTTTACGATATTGATACCATTTCCCATGCCGCGTCTATTTCCAAATTTTTTTTGAATAAGTTTTGAATCACCTTGTATTGCAAAATATAAATTTACCTCTCATGTAACAATAAGGACCACATACCAGTTAAAAATTGGGAGAAACTGTTTTTAAAATAATTCAAACATATAGGTACCTACTCCTATAATAACATCAGATGCGAGCTATATTTAAATTTTTCCGTATCTAAAAAAGTTCAAAATTTTTATTAAAATATTTGCAGTATTATAAATAAATTCTAAACATGTTATTCAAATAAAATATATTTTTCAAATAAGTATTATTAAGTTAGGAAACCCCACTTTATTTGTTATTATTTTTTTATTGTATTACTCAATTTTACCGCCAAACCAATATGTAATAGTATTCTTGATAAAAATGCAGAATCACATCTTTCTTAAATTTAATTATTTTTTTCTTATAAAATTTATTTATTTTACCTTTAAAAAAAACAATAAAATGTATTTTGCTATTGTGTACTTGTCAAAACTTCAGAAGAAACAATTGCGTGTACCTACCAAAAATCAATAATATAATTATTTACCTAATCCTAATATGGAATATAACGTCAGTCATGTGGACTTTCGTCTTCATTTTTTCGCATTATGCCCTCTCACAGAGCTATATATGTATTTTGTCACATTTTATCACATTTTTGTCACATTTATCACATAAAGTTCTTTGTTTCATGCACCTGTTTTTTGTTGCTCGAAATAAGTTGATCAATAAAAGTTGAATAAAACTGGTAGTGAGAAACTCTGTTTCAGTTCAGTTGATCAACATTTATCCAATAGATCAACGATGAACTTTAAATGAATTAACATTCAAATTTTATCTTTCAAATGGTTGAGTCATCTTCAGAACCCGAACAAGCTAAAATGTGCTTGAAGCATGCGAACTGGTACTGTATTTTTCAACTTTCGCCATTTATTTGTTCATATCCAATATTTTTTCTTTCGGTTCTTTTAACAAAACCACTGCCACTACACCTACCCAAATAATTGCAATCGACTCTATTTTGATGATTATTAGGTCTTGCTCCTCTTTTTCCAATTTACTGTATTTTCCACCAAATGGTACTAATTAAAAAGTGGTAAGAAATGAATCTACATTTCCTATGACCATGCCAGTTTTTGATTATAAAACTTCTTCAATCATTGATTATTGGATTATTGTCAATTAAGAGATAAGCTCCTTATAACAAGATATTTTTGGCACTGTTGAGTAATGTTGCAGAAATATTAATAAATCAACTCATGGGTCAAATATTTCCAGGATTTAAATAGTACCCTTTTATAGGCGATTATTATTGAAATGTTGGAATAATTGGTGTGATTGCAATGGAGAGGATATGAATCACATTTGAAGAAAAAGATGAAAAATCTTGTTTATGACTCAGTTGTTTCATGTGAAAGAAATTGGCTAACGTTATAACGAGCGTTCAAATAAAAACGTGGTCAAGTTGGTTCTGAAAATTTGGACGTAGGGCGTAGCGTATAGCAAATGAACTTAAACGTCATATGTCAAAGCACTATATCGCCGCTATCAATTTGAATATTTTCGTTTTAAAAAGCGTTTAAAATGGTGTTTTCTCAAGAACAAAAAGTGTTTATCATAGAGTTCTACTTTAGAAATGGACGCAAGATTGATGGAATATGGAAGTATTCCATTGAGGAATGTTTCACAGAATTTCAAAATCAATTTCCCGGCGTTGTTGAGTACAAAATTTTTCAAAGTGCAGTTCAGCGTTGTGTTAATGTTTTTCGTGAAACGGGCAGTGTAACAAGAAAAGAAGGAAGCGGCCGACCTAAAAAGCGGAACTGAAGAATTAAAAGAAAATGTCCAACAAATAATGGAAAATGCGCCAAGAACTTCTGTACGTGTTTTATCACAAATGGTGGGAGTATCAGTCGGTACCTGCCACACAGTGTTAAAAAAAGATTTGCGTTTGTTCTCCTATCGTTTAACTTGTCAGCAAGAACTTCATGAAGTTGATTTTCCGCGACGGGCTGTATTTTGTTAATGGTTTTTAAACAACTACGGTGAACTTCATAATATCACCTTTTTTCTGATGAAGCCTGGTTTCATTTAAGTGGTTACGTAAACTCACAGAATATGAGAATGTGGTCTTCTGAAAAACCAGATAACTTTTTTGTCGAGGGCCCTCTACACGCTCAAAAAATTGGAGTTTGGTGTGCTCTCAATCGAAGGAGGATTTATGGACCTATTTTTTTAATGGTACTCTTACTGCGCAAAGGTATAGAGAAGAAATTATCGCTCCTTCTGTTAACCAGCTGGAAGAAAACGAAATTACAAACTTTTACTTTCAACAGGATGGCGCAAGGGCACATACGGCAGGCGAGACGATGAATATGTTGAGGGAAGTTTTCCAAAATCGACTAATAAGTCTCAATGCTGAACATGAATTTCCACCGAGTTCATGTGATATTACGCCGTGTGATTTCTTTTTGTGGCCTTACCTTAAAAACACTATTTTTGAACTTCCTATTCCTGATTTAAACCATCTGCAGGCTCGACTTATAGACTAGATTCGTGAAATTAACAATACTCCGAGCATCTTAGAAAATGTCTTTAATTCTTTGAGGAACAGGTGTGAAAAGTGCTTGGAACAAGGAGGGGGACACTTTCAGCAGCTGCTTTAATTTATTGTTATAACAAGGAGGGGGACACTTTCCGCAGCTCCTTTAATTGTTTGTTATTGTTTTCACGATTATTCTTTAAAATAAAGTTATATAGTCATTAACGTTATTGAAACTGACAGCTGCTATACAGCTCATTGAGAAATGAGGTTAAGTTGGTCGCTATAAGCTAATCCCTACGTCCAATAGGTCAGAGCCAACTTCGACCACGTTTTTATTTGAACGCTCGTTATAATAAACAGTAATTTATAAAAATAAATAAAAATAACTGGAAAGATAAATATTTACATATGCATCCTACAGGCTCCAATTCGGAGTATAATTTCATAATATTTTTGTAAGAATAATTTAGTTTGATAGTTTACATTTTTTGGTCTTTATTTCTAACTGATATATTGAGGCATCAGGTGTCATATAATGGTCCATATTTTAAAAATATTTTTGGTTATAAATGTTGTTTTAAATACCGGTGCAAACATATTGCTATATATTTTTAAGAAGTACATCCCATACATTTGTAACCAAAATCATAATCTTGAAACGAAATTGTAATTGAAACCTAGTAAAATACCCTTTAATACAATATAAGTACTATTGGAGGAATATTGCTTAGGTAGTTTTCTTGAAAGAAGGCAGTCTGGAATGATCTTATTTTTCTGTAATTTTGTAAATATTTACTTAAATTTAATGCACATTTGTTTGTTAAAATTATAGTATGTGGACCTGGATGAGTTCTTATCGGAAAACGGTGTATCGATGGACGGGTTGGGGTCACACGGATCCCTGGGTAACCTGGGTAGTTCCCAAGCTCTGCCAAAAAGAGAAAGATCTCCTAGTCCGAGCGACTGTATGAGTCCGGACACCATGAACCCCCCATCACCTGCCGACTCAAGTGAGTATGCTGATTTTTTGGCTGGTAGATGTGATCTTGAATTTATCAAATCATTTACCAAAGAAAATATGAATTTATATAATTATAGTCTTTGAATATTTGTCATATCAATAGTTGTGTTATGTTTAATTTTAACTGTTGTAACTACTTAATGTCTGTTTGTAACGAAATGTGTTTTTTAACGTAATCTAGCTTCTACAATTCTGCTTTGCTTCAAATTAAAAAAAATGAAATGTTTTTGCACAGATGAATCAACCCAAAATTACCAAAATTACCCAAAATTCTTTGGGTAATCAAATACCGTTTAAAATAAAAGAAAATCTTCAAAACTAAAAGGAATTCGTACAGTGTACGATACAAAGTTCTTAAAATTGGCTATTCAGAAGATAAGTAAAAAATCAAACAAATTTTTGTGGTAAAATAAAAACGATTTAATTAAACTCATCTCTGTGATTTTTTTTCCAAATAACTCTAAAATGATTTGCCTCGTTTAAATAAAATTTGGTATGCTACTTCCTGTTCATAGATAAATATCACTTCACCGAAGTAACCGCGTTTACAACATTCAGAAAAATACCTTTCCCTCCAAATTTGTGTAGGATACAAATATGATATAAATTTGATTTGTCAAGAAAAATCGAAATTAAACCTTTTTTGATGAAAATTATTGAAAATGATCACCAATTTTAGTAACGTAAAACACAATTTACCCAAAAAAAAAAATCGTTCATGTTATATTTTTCCCATTCCGTAAGTTTTCAATTTTGTTAAAAATTTCGATGATGATGATTTCGATAAAAACTGCATAATTTGTGCAATAAAAGTAATCTGAAATGGGGGATTTTTTTAACTGAATTATATGTTACTGAATATGATGATCATTTGTCATGGCAGTCATATATCTCTGTAATAAGACAAGAATAGGGCTTGCAATCCCGGTATACCAGGATCCCGAAATAGCGAGATCCCGCACCAATTTTTAAATATGCGGATCCCGTTGTGGATTGCGGGATTCCGGGATTGTGCACAGGTGCTTCCACCATCCGTTTGGCGTCGTTGATTTCACACGTGGCCCGACCACGACGCACAAAATAACTTTGTTTTCTTCGTTGTTAGTAGTAGTAGTCTGTCACAGAATAATTAACGTATATGTTCTAGAGNACTTTGTTAAATTTCGATGATGATGATTTCGACAAAAACTACATAATTTGTGCAATAAGGGTAATCTGAAATGGGAGATTCTTTTTAACTGAATTATATGTTACTGAAAATGATAATCATTTGTCATGACAGTCACATATCTCTGTAATAAGACAAGAACTGAAGTCGTAAGACCCGATTAAAAATATTTATGAAAATCTTTTCTTATGAGTGGAAGTATTTTTTACAGTACTGTAAACGCAATTACTTGGTTACTATGTCAACAAGTGACCAATTTATTTACCAGTTTATTTAAATCGGTTAAAGTTTTATTTGAGAAAAAAAAAACAATTCTTTCCCGCCCTTATCGACTAATAGAAGTAAACTTGGATAGAGGCAAGTTTACTTAAGTTGTCTTATTTTGACCCCAAAAATTTGCACCTTCTACAAAATTTACTGCATTTTCAAATTACTTGAGTTCAATATTAAAATTTGTTAATGTACGTCTCTCTTTATATTAATTTAAAAACCAACTGGTAAAATAGTTAATATTAAACATAAAAATAGATACTAGGTAAAATAAATATACTGTATGTCTTTCCGAAGTCAATTGAACATGTATAAAAACGTCTAGCAATAAAATTTAATGACATTCATAGGCGTTCCTAAAAAATTTTTCTGCTAAAGTTAAAAAATTATAATAATTTGTATACAGTAGAATATGTGTAGAAAATTTCTGTTATTATGTTCATTTGACCAACAATATATTTTAATTATTTATGTCCTCAAACCATTTTATTATATTGATGGTAAATTTTCAAATAGTCTCCCAAATGCAGTGTTGTGATAATACTAGTAAACAAAATATCCCTCTTTCGCAATTGTAATATGAATGATTAATAGAAGGTGCCTACAATAAATTAAAATTACCTGAATCGCACCAAATTCCGCATTGCTGCACTGCACTGTTAGGCCATTTGTCGACAACCGAATTTATGGCCATGTGGCCCAGTGCGGCAGCGTTTGTGCCGCGTTTGCCAACGCGCTCACTCTTCAACTGGGCGACTAAACCTGTATACGGGTATGGCTAAATAAGAATGGGCACAAGTTTTTCAAATATTTCAATGCCGAGTTGCTTCGTCAGCGACCGAACCTGGTGCATACTGCCAAACTCTTGGTTCTTCAGTTGAGATCGGAAAGACTATACTATATGTTTAAAACTTAGAATGTATTTATTGGATATTTTTTAGTTTTCACAAGTGTCGCATGGCTTAAAAATACTGCACTTCATGCTGCTTTGCTTATTTTAAGACTTAAAGGAAAATTCATTCATGTCAAATTATATTTAAATTGTGATCAAGTATTAGAGCAATATCACTAAAATCATGAATTTTATTTAAAATAGCAAATGTTGCGTTTATATAACACATCTAAGTCAGGGTTGTCTATTTAATAATTTTTCCATTTTGACTAGAGGAAACAAATAGTGATTGTCATATGTTTTGTAACTAAGTACCAAAAGTTCAAAATAATATTCATCTGCATTTAGTTATATGAATCTATGCTTAATATTTTTTCTTTATTATTTGATCAATTAGTGGAAGTTGATTTTTTTAATATAATTTATTATTATATTGTCACGTGGCAATGATCTTCATATAGTTTTAATTATAACTGATAATTATTCTAGTCATCAAGACACTGTTTTCATAGCTGAAGAGAATTGGAAAAAATCATATTTCATACATACATTACATTAGTAAAATGATTATATCATATATTTAAGAAATATATTTATCTCGTAAGTTAACATATTCTAACAGAAAACTTTTCATTATAAATTAAGGTACAGACCTACGTCAATAAGCTTGCATCTGAGATTAGAAGGGAAATGTGGATATCTCAAGTAGCATCGCCTACGTTTTATTCTTTTTAGCCGAATACATTCTTTCTCAATCTCGCCTTAGTCAGAAAAGCAAATTTATTTGGTCGGTCCCCACCTTGCTAATGTAATTGGCTACTAAGATCCCAAGACCTGAGCATGCCATAACTTAAGACAACTAGCATATGTTAACAATTATGTTAGCAAGTATAAACGTGTAGCATTAAACTGCAATAACTGCAAGTTATGACTGCTAATTATTATTGCTGTTGTACTCCTACATAGCAATATATAAATATGGAATTATTGTNAACTAATGATATTGGTAGCCTTATTTTTATTCAGTTTGTTGTCAATAGTGGGAAGATTAGAGGCCAAATTTCAAAGAAAAACAGCAAATTTTCTCAATTGTCGACGTTTCGTCACTTATCGTGACATCCTCAGGACAATTACAGATTTAAGTGCTTCACTGTGTTTTCCTAGTCTCGTTATACATAGTATGTCATATAACAATCTTGGACAGTATAGATATAGGTAGAGAATAGCGTACACATACATCAAAATCATGTATTAAAATATATCTTTATATTAATTTAAAAACCAACTGGTAAAATAGTTAATATTAAACATAAAAAATAGATACTAGGTAAAATAAATATACTGTATGTCTTTCTCAACATGTATAAAAACATCTAGCAATAAAATTTAATGAGATTCATAGGCGTTCCTAAAAAAGTTTTCTGCTAAAGGTAAAAAATTATAATAATTTGTATATAATGTGTAGAAAATTATGTTCATTTGACCAACAATATATTTTGATTATTTATGTCCTCAAACAATTTTATTATATTGATGGTAAATTTTCAAATAGTCTCCAAAATGCCGTGTTGTGATAACATTAGTAAACAAAATATCTCTCTTTCGCAATTGTAATATGAATTATTAATATAAGGTGCCTGTAATAAATTAAAATTACCTAAATCATGCTAAATTCCGCATCGCTGCACTGCACTGCTAGTCCATTTGTTGACAACCGAATTTATGGTCAGGTGGCCCAGTGTGGCAGCGTTTGCCCACGCGCTCACTCTTCAACTGGGCGACTAAACCTGTATACAGGTATGGCTAACTAAAAATGGGAACAAGTTTTTCAAATATTTCAATGCCGAGTTGCTGCGTCAGCGACCGAACCTGGTACATACTGCCAACCTCTTGGTTCTTCGATTGAGATCGGAAAGACTATACTATATGTTTATAACTTAGAGAATGTATTTATTTGGTATTTTTTAACTAAGTTTTCACAAGTGTCGCATGGCTTAAAAATACTGCACTTCATGTTGCTTTGCTTATTTAATGACTTAAAGGAAAATTCATTCATGTCAAATTATATTTAAATTGTGATCAAGTATTAGAGCAATATCACTAAAATCATGAATTTTATTTAAAATAGCAAATGTTGGGTTTATACAACACATCTAAGTCAAGGATATCTTATTTAATAATTTTTCCATTTTTGACTAAAGGAAACAAATAGTGATATGTTTTTGTAACTAACTTCCAAAATTCCAAAATAATATTCATCTGCATTTAGTTATATGAATCTATGCTTAATATTTTTTCTTTATTATTTGATCAATTAGTGGAAGTTGATTTTTTTAATATAATTTATTATTATATTGTCACGTGGCAATGATCTTCATATAGTTTTAATTATAACTGATAATTATTCTAGTCATCAAGACACTGTTTTCATAGCTGAAGAGAATTGGAAAAAATCATATTTCATACATACATTACATTAGTAAAATGATTATATCATATATTTAAGAAATATATTTATCTCGTAAGTTAACATATTCTAACAGAAAACTTTTCATTATAAATTAAGGTACAGACCTACGTCAATAAGCTTGCATCTGAGATTAGAAGGGAAATGTGGATATCTCAAGTAGCATCGCCTACGTTTTATTCTTTTTAGCCGAATACATTCTTTCTCAATCTCGCCTTAGTCAGAAAAGCAAATTTATTTGGTCGGTCCCTACCTTGCTAATGTAATTGGCTACTAAGATCCCAAGACCTGAGCATGCCATAACTTAAGACAACTAGCATGTGTTAACAATTATGTTAGCGAGTATAAACGTGTAGCATTAAACTGCAATAACTGCAAGTTATGACTGCTAATTATTATTGCTGTTGTACTCCTACATAGCAATATATAAATATGAAATTATTGTACTTGTAAATAAGAGTTTTCAAAATACAAGGTCACATTTATGTTAACAAGCAAAAGTGAACTCAATATTTTTAAACCCCCTTCAAAGGCTTTTAAAATCGTTTTACTTTTGCTAGATGTAATGTAAATAATTTAATTCGATTTGAAATAAACAATTTTGAAAAAATCATACCATATATCATCTAAACTGAACTTTGCAAATTTTCTTTTATGATTTCTGTCATACATGAAACTGTTTTTCAAAATTTGTTGATGTTCTAAAAACGTATTGATTTGAGTTATAATATTATTATACTTTCATTGTTTTGTTATATTTTATCCCTTTTTCACTTTTACATCTTCATTGCACAGTGATTATTTTTATCATTTTTACCAAGTTCAGTTTACATGATTAAAGCCTTACTAAACTTCAGAAAATAAACTATGAAATTCTGAGTTTGCCATATTTGAGGATTTAAAATGTAATTCGAATGACATGCCTTGCAAATTATTTACATTATTCAGATGTATATAGATGTACGTAAGTTTATTTTCTTTTCTTTTTTTTTATTTAGAATTTCTCGTGAACAAATTCTCTAAATCTAAAAATATGGAAAATTGATCCTTACTAGATTGAGCATATTCTTTGACACAAAGCAAAGAAATTTAGTAAGGCATCGAAAGAGAAATTACTATTGTGTATGTACACAATACTAATATCTAAAATATAGTTTTTTCTGAAGCGTTATCTATGGCTTCGAGTTGTCGAGACTTCGATCCACGGAAGAGAGCATTTTCAGATGAGGAGCTCAAGCCGCAACCCTTAATCAAAAAATCCCGAAAACAGTTCGTCCCCGACGACCTTAAAGACGACAAGTACTGGGCGAGACGTAGGAAGAACAACCTAGCGGCCAAAAGATCAAGGGATGCCCGTCGGATGAAGGAAAACCAGATTGCCCTCAGAGCTGGATACCTTGAAAAGGAGGTTAGTATCACAAACAGTTTTTTTGATGTCCTTATTGTCAAGAAATTCCTAAATTCATAGCAAAGGATTTTAGCCCAAACGGACCCAGCCCCCACCATCTATTGCCCTATAGCGATCCACATCCAACTACTATGACAGTGGCTCTATACAAGACAGTGGCGACAATAGCGACTAAACCCCGCCCATCCGCCATGTTGCGTCCAATGTCAAATTAAAAGTAACTTTTATAAAAAATAAATTAGGTACAAAAGTATTTTAAGCAAATAACTCCCTTGGAAAGTGATTCTAAATAATGAATGTAGAATCTACTTGTGCAATAGGGGAGGATAAATATACAGGGGTAGAAATTCATGGGTAGATTCCCCAAGTAAAAATATTGCGATTTAGCCGAACTTACCTTAGTCCAAAAGTTGATAGTTAAAGAGATACAGGGTGTTAAATGTAAAATATTATTTCAGTTTTTTTTAATTTATTCCTTAACAAATGCAAATATCCTCACAAAATTTTGGGGATTGGAGTTCGTTGAGTAGAGGAATTGAAATCTGTTCACATTTTGGTTAAAGTTCATAGAGGGCGCTAGCTGCAGTAGATTGAATGTGTTAAAAACGACATAACTTTTTTGTGCTTTAAGGTATCTCATCTTTGGTTACAAATTCTTATTTTCCAACTTTTTTTACACAAAAAAGGTATACTTTATTAAAGTAGCTATCTCGCACCGTTTTCGAGATATTTGGCTTTGAAACTTCCAATGCTGTTGCATTAAATTACAATTAAGTACCTACAGGTATTATTAATTTAGTGGTAAAGTTTCTTAAGTAGGATTTGGACGCAAATCAAATAATTGACGTCTTCCACTTGTCTTATTACTGTCATTTGTATGCTAATTTCTATTAAGTATTATTCGTATCTAATTAAAATCACATCTTAGCTTACAAATTAAATTGTATACTCGTACATAAATGTGAGATAGAATGCCGAGGTTTTCGTTTTTGGAGTTACATGAAATCAGTTGTTTATGGAGAAACTATAAACACTTGAGAAGAACTTTAGTAGCAGGTTTTAAATGCTGCAAAGTCATTTCGCATTAAGGATTTATACTTTAAAATAAGACAATCTTTTAATAAACGTGTTGATAAATGTATTGAAGTTAGAGGTGGACATTTTGAGCAATTATTGTCAAAAAGGCATATTTTTTACTAATGTTTACTATTTTACTGTTCATTACAATTTTTAATTCTAAATAAACCCTTGTTTTTGACATTTCTAAATTATTTTAATTATTTCAACTATTAGCATTGGAAGTTTCAAAGCCAAATATCTCGGAAACGGTGCGAGACAGCTACTTTCATAAAGTCTACCTTTTTTGTGTAAAAATAGTTGGAAAATAAGAATTTGTAACCAAAGATGAGATACCTTAAAGCACAAAAAAATTATGTCGTTTTTAACACATTCAATCTACTGCAGCTAGCGCCCTCTATGAACTTTAACCAAAATGTGAACAGATTTCAGTTTCTCTACACAACGAACTCCAATCCCCAAAATTTTGTGAGGATATTTGCATTTGTTAAGGAATAAATTTAAAAAAACTGAAATAATATTTTACATTTAACACCCTGTATCTCTTTAACTATCAACTTTTGGACTAAGGTAAGTTCGGCTAAATCGCAATATTTTTACTTGGGGAATCTACCTGTGAATTTTGGCCCATTACGTCGCGACCACCCTGTATAATAATAGCAACTATTGGTTTTCATTTTCTAGGCAAGTTATATTAAGCTTACCTACAATATACAGTTAAATGTATTGGGTTTACATTACAAAAACGGATAATTAATACTAGTAATAGTATTTTTGTACAATAAAAGTTCAGCCACACTTTTACTTGTAAGCTTTTTTGATGTTTTTTGGCATTTTTTGGAAGCTATTTTGAAACCTAATAAATATCTTAACAATTTTATTATTGATCTGATGACAATTTGGTAGATCTGATTTTAAACCTGACTTTTAAGAAAACTCTTTTAAATTTATGTTTTGTGAAGATACAATCTCAAAAATTTTGTAAAAACACTTTCCATCAGCAAGAAGATAGAAAATACCGCTTCATTGCAAAAAAGGTGAATGTTCTCTAAATCTCCTAACTACTCTAAATTTTGAAAATGTTTTATAAATCAGCGTTTTAGAACCAACACACACCGTTTGTACAAGTTTTTTATGTTCTAACGATACTTTGAGCAATACAGGTTCGGAAAGTCCCCATGGTTCATCGGCCGTTACGTGAGAGCGATAAAGTCATAAAAATCCGTGTGATAGAGAAAGATGGCTATAATGAAGGCGTCTAATAGTCACCGCCCATTTCGCCCTTCCACAAATAAGAAGTGGATCTTATTTGTGGAAGGTGGATTTACAGATCCCTTGAGCCAGACAAGGAATATTCACTTGTTTTGGGCTAAGCGGAACCAACCCGCCTGCCCGTACCTAAGTCCAACTATTGTTGCAATTGTGCAATGATGTCACAAAAATGACTCTTTACACGTCTCTAGACCATACAAGATATATTTAGATGATTATGGCCCAAACGGACCCCTTAAGCTTCCATGTCCCAGCTTCGAGTGTCCCTATCCAAGCTTCATTTTGGGTTTACCTGATTTAACTTCAGTTTAAGTTTGCTGTCGGTGCTTCAGCCTGGTTTTGGCAACCTGAACTTCTGTTTGAGATACAAATTACACGTTTAAGCTTCAGTTATTGTTTCCCTCTCCGAGGTTCAGATTTAGTTTGCCTGTTAGGGGTTCAGTTTGAGTTTTCCTGGCTATGGTTTAATTACACTCTACTAGTCTTGAGCTTGCCTGTCCGAGCCCCAGTTTGTGTTTATCTGAGCATCAATTTGAGTTTTCTGGCAGTGCTGCCTGTCACAATAATTGGACGTGATTAGAATTATGTGGATTGGATCCGTTTGGTCCGAAATCAACGGAATATTGCTTGCCTGGTTGTAGGAATGTGTAAAAAGACATTTTTCTGCCGTTATTACTACCTGTCACAGTAGTTGAATATGAGTCGATTACTGGGTGGTATGTAGGGCAGTGGATGGTGAGGGGTGGATGCGTTTAGGCTAACATCGATTGACTTTTACTTGCTTGGTCTAAAGCTATAAAAATCATACATTTTCTCTTTTTCACTTGGGCCAAAAACCGCGCTTAATGACAGAAAAAACACGTTGACAAATTAATCTGGTTTTGATTTGATTTAGTTAAAACAACGTGCAAAATACTGATGGTCCATTTTTGCTTAAATACTGTATAAAGATGTAGTTTTCACTAAAAATTGTAGAGAGGATAATAAAAATTAGATAAAGATTAGAGTGCCATATGAAATAAGTATGAAATATGGGTGACGTATAATAAGTATAAATAGTTACATGCACTAAAAAAAGGTCTCAAATGGACATCAATCTGAAAGTATTTCCTTTCCTTAAGTATAACAAAAAAAGTTGATGAAAAAATTATTGAAATTGTCTGAAGAACAGTAAAAATCAAAATGGAAAATTGTTTATTTTATTTATCTTTTGTCTGTTGGTAGCTTAGCTGTTTCAAGCATCACTCTTCAAAATAGTTATTGCTGGGATCGTGGGTACGAGTCCCGTGGTCGGATGACCTATATCAGTTGTATTCATGAAGGGAAAGTAGGCAGTCACTCCACAGGTGTAATAGGATGGAATACCGCTGGTATGGATCAACCCGATAGATTGTGCCAAAACACCATTCGATTATCCTCCTAATTAATGAGGTTTCCCAGGTTGCTCTGGTTGATGTGCCACCTCATCCCCCATCTTCAATGACTTAGCTAAATCGTTGCAATTATAATGAGGTGTTAAGATATTATTATATTATTAGATTTCTTGAAATCATGTAACACAATAAAAAATATATGCAAATTTAATGAAAGAGAAAATATGTAAAAAAAACTGTACAAAGTTAAGTACCTTCCACAATTTAGTTACATTTGAATTGTTCCTACATTCTTACATCAGTTTCATGATTTCCCCCCTCAGTAGTATTTAACGATATTTTCAGCTTAGCAATATTCAGAAAGACAATTTCAATAATTTTTTAGACTGTACAACTTCTTTTTGATCTTGTGACGTGAAAGTAACTTGGACATTACACATTAATTTGATCAGTACATTTTCGGTATTTGACTAAAGAATAATCTTTTTATCCGTTATTTATTAATCAGTTCGTACAGAACAAAAAGAACTATAAAATTTGTAGTTTATATATGTATATCTGCCATACAAAACTCAGTTTATTTGTCTTTTGGACAAAATGTGGTTTTATTGTCTAAAAGTGGTTTATATGTATAAGCACTTTTAGTAACGATAGTTGTATACCTATCACTTTGTCCAAAACAGCATCGATGTTACTTTCAAACCTAACATCAACCTATTTTGGAAAAAATAAAAGGGCAGCACATGCGAAGCCTTGTGGTATAGGTGGTAATGGCTAATGTGTTCTTATTAGTGATTCGAATCGCCATTATCAAATTCCCTTGACGTAGGTAATGGATTCCTTGAGTTTGTTCACAATTCCGAGTCTGCTGCGATGATATGAGCGTAAATATATGTGTTCTCAACAAAAACTGAGTTAAAAGTTAAAATTTTGATCGTGTTTCGATTCACAATTAACCGTAATTATATTCTGTATACAGATTGCTTTTCATAATTCTAAAGGATGATTATAGTAATATAATTTATGGGCATACAGATAACAGTAGTTAACAACAAATAAGATATAGAAATTGTATAACATAAGTATTATGAATTTAAAGTTCGCCCAAGTTTGAAACAGAAAAAAAGTATAAGATTAAATGAAAGATTTACCTAAAACAGATATTTACTATTCAATTATTAGGAAATATTATTGTTGTGTGTATAACACGGGTCCCAAGATTTTGAACCGTTGTGTTTTACCCAAAGTGGCTGAATTCAAATATTACTTCCAATGCATTTAATGCAATTAGTTTCCGTTCACAAACTAACTGAGATTCCAAATCCTCCATTCTATACTTTTGATCAATACTTGCTGCGTTTTTTTCTTACTCTTATTTTCTCCTATTTTTTGTAATTAATTATTAATTCCGTCACTCCGTAGAAAGACAAATATATTTTAATGAATTGAAAAAAGTCTTTCGAATTGTAATGGCATCATCAGTGATTTCTTTGAAGATGAACTGTTCAATACCTACTTTGAATCTATCCATTTTATGAAAAACTTTGAGTAAAACTGAAATGAAAACCGAATAGGTACAGTGCAAATCTTTCTGAGTAGTAATGCCCCTTGGGTTCTTATTATGGAAATTATTATAAATTAATTTAAGCGAATTATTTATAAAATTGCAATTGAAGTATTTCTGCACTAATTTCTAATTTAATAAATCTCTTCAGGTGTGTATATTCCCATTTATAAATTGAAATTGTGTCCCATCAGCACAGGGGAGGTATTTTCTTTCTGTTTCTGGAATGGAAAAAGAGTACTATAAATCCAGGACTTGCACCACACATATTATCTTCGTCATTCGTAATTTTGTTGTTTCAAATATTTTTCTAAGTAGACAAATGGTAACTGTGCTGTGATTGGATTGCGTTGATATGGGGTCCAGAAGCGGTCTAGACTACGGCTAGACCTGATAGCAAATATCATTATCGTAAGCAACGTACAAATTTGTCCTAACCAGGTATTACATAGAGTACTAGAAAAGTTCTGCAATATATCTTTAATTCTCGTAAGTTTTCAAGCGAAGTCAATCGTCAAACTCCTTCAGAAATCCTAATACGCTGTTAGAAAATCGACGCTCTTTTGAATTCTTCTTGACCAAGAAGGTATTGCGAGCCTTTTTCACGACTACAGTTCAGGATTGAACTTCTCTTTTAACACGCTTCATAGCGACATGTGGCCATAAGTTTCGCCGTATTGCAAAACTCTATTTTATCATTTCAAATAACATGTTTTATTTAAATCCAATATAACATGTCGAAATAACAATCCCTGAAATTGCGTTGGAAACTAATTGAATGTGTTTAGTAGCATTGGAAAATGTCGTACGGGCTAAACTCAATGGATGTGACTGTAATCCCAATTTGTACGCAAAATTATTTTCAATTGCATTGAAAAGTGTTCGAATGAGATCAGCTCCGTTGTCTGATTAAATCCAACGGTTCAAAATTGTGTTCAGATTTTGACGATTTAAAACAATCATGGAATCTTGCTCCATAATGGAATTAGTGTTCAAAAGCGTAGTTTTCATACCCTTCTTCTACTGCCTTATGTCTTTAATGTCTAGTATTGTTCATAATCCATTTTAGATTTTGTGCATATTTTTCGAGTTAGATGCTATAACATTGTTTTCTTCTTTTGCAGAACGTTGGTCTTCGCCAAGAATTAGAACGACTGAAAAAAGAAAACCTAATATTACAAAACAAATTGGCGAAGTACGAAGATGTGTAATTCGCTGAAGGAGCCGACCTCTTCTTACTTTTCACACACAAAACAGCCGCTCACTAATCACTCATTGAACAACTCGAAAACAATTCAGTGAATAAAAAGTGTTCCTTCAGGATGCAACCAAACATTTGTATATAAACATACACATTATGTAGTCATCATGTAGTGTTAAGTTTATTACATTGTAGTAGAAGAAAAAATTACGTACATATTTTTGTTTTGATTTATTTGGTCACGAGGTACTTGGAAACGTAGCAAAATTTAATGTTAAACTTATTCCCAAACTTGTTAAACGTTGTTTGTGATATTTCTTGTTGCCTAGACACTAAAAGAAAATTCAATTTCAGTTGGTCGCTTGACATTCTATATTAGAATTGACCTAATAAATCCGAGTGTGGAGTTTCCCAAGTATTTTTTGGCCAAAATCTACAGAAAAAGGGACTGCCAAAAAAGTGGGCAGTTTGACCTCTGTTATACCTTGTAGACTAATTATTTGTTGATTGTTTTTATGTTTATATAGTCTATTTTTGGTTGAAGTTAATTTAGTGGTATTTTTAAGCAACTTAGTAAAAATCGTAGTGTGCTCACAAGTTTACAGGAATAGGCAAAGAGAAAGCACTTGTGTGCTTTTAAATGTGCTATACTAAAACATAACTTTGTTTTAAATTTAGATTTCAGTTTACTTAAAAGTCTAATTTCTTGAAATAATAGATTTCTTATATTTATTTTAAATAGTGTATTATTTCAGCTGGCATCAAGTCGTGTACGTGGATAAATGGCCTATTTTTGTTATATTCACGATGATGCTTAACCGGGCTATTAATTTTGGGAGACTATGTATCTAAACTTTAAAGCGGAAATGGCCATAAGAATTAAATTTACATTGAAATTGACACCAATTATGAAAATGCTGTTTCATATTACGATTGATGTTGAAAAAATATACAGTGTTACCATAATATTAAGAGAACCTTTACAAATGACTGCAGTGAAGTGTCGGTGTTGTTCTTAAAATAACCTTTAAAAATTGCCTTAAAGGCATGCCTTATAAAATTTAAATTTGTAACTTTTATATCTGTTACCACTGCAGTGGATTTTTTATACTTGAACGATGTGCAAAAATTTATTTTCAGTAAACGAAATGTTTATACGTATTTAAGAAATGTTACTGTTAAATCTTACTACATTATATTGATTAAACATAATTTTACATTAAAAATGTGCACCTAACGGCCTCAGTGTTTATCAATTCGATAGGTTATGCAGCTTCTTTTTGCATAAATAAACCCCACAAGTTGTATAATCCATTGTAGAAAGGAATAAAGGCGTTCTTAAGTAGGTTCTATTACAAAGTACTCTAAAAAAAACTGTAATTGCTATTGTGAGCATTAAATGATATAAAGTTATAAGTGTAGTTTTATTTAGAAACTAGTTTTTTTAGAATGAGTACTGGTTAGTATTTAAAATAAAAAATTACACCCTCTTTACACCAGAAAGATCATTTCAAATAAGCGAAAATAGACATTTATTTACACTAATATAATTTTTTGTTTAATTTTCCTACTACATAGTATAAAAAGTGTCTACACACTTCAACATAAGAAAATAAATTAAAAACTATTCTTAAATAAAACAGAAAATACATAATCTTAAGAGAAAAAATAAAAATAAAATTAAAAAACGTCTAAAAGGTATCCCAAAATATACGCAAGAAGTAATTTTGATAGAAAACACCGGTTTTTAATTAATAATTGTAAATTTTTCATTGCATATCGGGTAAATAACCTCCACGGCTTTGCTGGCACGTACTCACCTTTTTGTCGAAATTTTCCATAATCATTTCGCATAAATGCGGCCCAATCCCCTCCCTCAAAGCGTGGGTGGTAATGGGCTCCTTGGCATAAACCTTAGATTTCAAAAAACCTCAAAGAAAACGGGAAATTACACGACCAGGAAATGATTCATGCAGTAATACAATTTTCTCGGGCTGTATGGTATATATCACCGTCTTGTTGAAACCACATGACGTCTACATCCATATCCTGCAATGTAGGCATACAAAATTGGATTATCATGTCGCGATAGCGAGCACCATTAACTGTTATTTCCTGACCAGCCGCATTTTCGAAAAAGAATGATCCAATGATGCCTCCAGCCCAAAATTTACACCAAATAATGACATCGTGCATGCATTTGTTTCTCAACATTCACTAGTAGATTTCCTGAACCTCAAATGCGACAATTTGTCGATTAACAAAACTAACAACATGAAAATGAGCCTCATCGCTGAAGATGGTTTTGTTCGAAAAATTAGCATCCACTTGTTCCATAATCCATTCATCAAACTGTCTTCATTCTGTGTGGTCAGTTAGTACGCTTCAGTTCTTGAGTGAATTGAACTTTGTAAGCATGAGGCTGCAAATCTTTCGTGAAAATACGCTGTAAAGAGCTTCTCGAAATGTCCAGCTCTCGCCCAACTGACAAATTGATATTCCTGGACTCTCAGCAACACCCTCACGAACTGCTTCGATGTTTTGTGTTTAAAGACTTGTTGAGTGTTTAAGATCATTAATTGATCTAGTCTCCCTGAATTTTTCAATTAATCTCTTCATAGTTGATGAATTAAAATCACTATTCCGAAAATGGCAAACTGTAGCTATCAAATTTTCATTATTTTTAAAATATTGCTCGATAATGAAAACACGTTGTTGTTTCTTGTAGCACTCTATTTTTAATAACCTTGAACTGTCAACAGTGACACTGTTTTTTTTTTTCGTAGACAACACTAACGCACGAATGGCGCAAAATTCAATACTTCGTAAATTTTGAGATACCTGATATTAGTGAAATTCTACCATATTCTATACTAACAGTGACAATTAAATATTGAAATATTTTTAAAAGGTATGGAAAACGTTCCTAATTAAATGCATTTTGGTTTTTCCTTTATAGACGTGTAAATGTAGATTTTTTTATTTAGTTACACTAAGAAATTTAAAGCCCAAGTGACAGTCATGATATTTTTACAGTATTGTAAAGTATTGAGTCTATTCAAACAATTTCAACATTTTTTTCTAAAAAAATTTTGTCAAATGAAGTCAAGCAATGTACTTATTTTCCAGAAATCTAGGTATGGAAAAGAAAACTAACTGTACAGATTTCTACCTGTCCATCAACTGTATCTAGTAAATACTTAATTATTATTATATGGATTGTCTACGGGTAGCGCCGGATCTCGATACCTATTTCCAATTTCTTCTGTCGTAACACATATATTCCTCTAAATTTTTTCATTCCATCCCTTCATTAACGTTCTCTCTCCAGATTCTTCTCGGTCTTCTCCTCTTTCTTCTCTCTGGCGATATCTATTCTAATATTTTATTGGCTGTCTTCCTTCAAGCATTCTTTTTATATGCTCGAGCCATGTAAATTGCTTCTTTTCAATTTCGTCCGTGTTCACATCCTTTCTAACGATTTCATTTCTTACTCTTTCAAGTCTGGATTGTCTGCAGCTTCTGAGGAAGTCCATCTCTGTTGCCAATAATTTTTTTTTTATTGATTTTGATTAGACCCCATATTTCTCCAGCGTATATCATACATAACATTCTGGACAATAGCATTATAAATACGCATTTTGGTTTCTTTCCTTATGTTCTTTTCTGTCTTTATTCATTATTTCTTTCATTCATCCTTACTCATCCCTTGTTTGTTGAAGAGGCACTCCTAAGTATTTACATTTTACGACGTCTTTACATTCCTTTATCCAAAGGTAAATTGTTACATTCGCCGCTTCCTATAATTAACGACTCGCATTTATTTAAGTTCATTGTCTATCCAGTATTTTCATATTATTCTTGAAGCTTTCTAATCATACAACCCTGGTCTTCTTCTTCCTCCGGGAACACTACTTGGTCATCAGCAAAATGGAGGATGTCGTCACCCACCTGACTCCCATGTTTGTATCTAGTATATAATAATAGTAATAAATGAGCGTTACAAATAAAAAACGTGGATGTGGATGTATAACCACAAAAATCTCTTTCTAGCAAGTTCCTCCACTGTTTCATTTCCCGTTAATGCCTTTGTGTCCTGGCACCCAACACAATTTGACTGTGTTAGTAGTAGCCAGTTCAGTCAGCATTTGTATACATTGCCACACAAGTTTTGAACTTACCTTGTGTGTGTCTTGTAAAGTTATTTATTACTTATTCCAAACAACTGCTTGGGATTGGCAAAAAAACCAAGTACACTCAAATATGTAGCATCCAGGTGAAACTACAGTCGGGTTTCAGTGAGATTACAGCAAGGTTGACGATTCACGACAACACTAGACGTAACAGATTGAAAGTTTGACAAGGTATCTCTACTTGTATATCAATAGGATTGAAAGCTACAGCGATGATAACTTCTGACAAGATTTGGGGCAACGATATGGATGGGTCTTACTCAGTTCCACGTGGTAAGGTATCTGAGGGCCTGTTGACGCTATGGTCATCTGTCAGATGTGAATGACCAAATGAATATCAGTCGACAGACACCATGACAACCTCCTCCCAAAGATTATGGCTGTTATGAGTCCCTGTATCCAATCGAACGTTGTCTGGTGTGTCAGAAGGTCCGTGGTATTGTTGGTTTCAGTTGCAATTTGAAAATAAAAAAGAGTGTAAGCAGCTAGGATATTTACAATAAAATGATTTTCAGTACTAGGTCAATCTGGTTGTCGGTGATTGTGTAATAAAATGTAATATACAAATGTTCTTAAATTTACTATTTATAATTAATATTAAAGTTTATTAAGCTAGTAATATTACAAGTGGTAAGTACGATGAAATTTAAAACTAAGTATGGTGTTTACTCAATTAAAAGTAAACTAACAAAAATTAAGAGAATTTGATTATCTGTAACAGTGATTTTACTCAAAATATGCAATAAACTACTCAAAATTTTAATTTATCCATCAAATTTAATTGACAATAATTTACTACAGTAGGATAATTTTATTTATTAAATTTCTTAATCAATTCGTTTTGACATTATCCGAAATCTTGCAAAGTCGCCTTGGTTGTTTGGATTTTGTCATTTCTAAGGTGTTTATTAACAAAGCTACATAAAAGTTGCAATTTTGTTGGTTTTTAATTATTATTTTTAAATTAATGATTTTCAAATAGAAAGTGCAGCAAATGCTGCCTGAGAATTTTATTGCCCGAGGAGTCGAAAGTGCGCTACAGACGAGCATATAGAAATTTAAAATAATGGTGCCAGAACAAAAATACTGGTGGTGTTTCTGAAATGTCATAGCATATTTCATGGAGAAGCCAAGAACTCTAAAGTCACCGGCGTGTTTGTGGGTTGAGTACTCAATGATTAAGTCAATTATTTTCATAGAGAACGTGGATATATCAAAATATCCCAAGCTGAGAGCATTTTTGAAACGTAAGAATGACGGCTATACACCTAAAAAGTCAAACGTTTTTACAAGAGAACAAGTCAACGATTTTCTCATTCAGGCACCCGATAACACAAGCTAATGAAGGTAGTGACGGTCTTATTTACTTTGGAAAACGTCAATGTCAAAAATTTTGATGACATTATTGTAGCTACAAACGATCCATTTGTAATCTTAAATTAATATATGGGGGTAGGTAACTTTTGGATCAAAGTACTAAGATAATGCTTTGCAATGCTCTAGTATTAAGTCATTTACATTATGGCAACATAATTTACAATTCTTG